ATTTAAAAAAAAAAAAAAAAAAAAACGTACTTCCTTGTTTCGAGGACCTTTTACAGATTTTCTTTATGTTCAAGTATTGGTACCTGATATTCTTTTGAAAAATAAAAAAAAAGTGAAATAACACTGAGTTGTGTGTAGACATGTTAACTCTTGCAAAGGAAGGTCAGAAAGCTTGAGAATACTTACATTTTTGATCTGGCAGGGGAGCAAGGCTGTTCCGAGTGAAGGGAAGATCTCTGATTTTGGGTCTGTTTGGGGAGAGATGCTGAAGATTTTGTCCTGGGAATGAGCATATTTGCATCAATCATTTGAAATTCAAGCAAGGGCAAATTATAAAGTCCAATGGACAAAAGAGTCATAAAAGTTGTTGAAGATCCCTTAATTTAAGGGAACAAACACAATGAAATAGTAGCCTTGCTCTAGTAATGCCACTCATTGCTTAAATGAAAAGCCACCAGAACTCATTCAGGTTTTATTAAATTTGAATACCCATGAGTATCTCCACAAGAGGAAGGCATTTTGTTTTACATTTTTATTTTATTTGTGTGTGTGTGTGTGTGTGTGTGTGTGTGTGTGTGTGTGTGTTTCCTTCTTCCCATCATGGATTGGGCTCAGACCATGAGGTTTGGTGACAAGCCCCTGCTGAGCCATCTGGCTGGTCCCAAAGTGATTTTTTGAATGAACTAATTTAAATAAAATTTCAAAACCAAGCACAATTGGTTGCTCTATAGAGTTAAATTTAATATAAAGTTCGAACAAATGCTAGTAAATTGGGCTTATCACCTATCTTCAATGCATCTGAGTGATGACTGGGATATCTTTTTTCTAGAACAGTGTTTTTCAGTCCTGACTGCACAAAAAAATGAGGTGAGCTTAGATAAAAGTACTGCTGCCTTGGCCATACCCCAAGTCAGTTAACTTAGACTCTCTGGAGGAGTGTCAGATTTGTATTATCTCCCAAGTGACTCAGATGTGCAGGAAGGACTGGGTGGTACATTTGGGAAATGGCTAACATCTAAGCTTGACATGGCCACTGGTGTGCTGGAGCCATATGTCCATGTGAACCTACCCTTGAGAGCAGATTGTAATATTGTTGGGACTTTTCAGAGAGGTTAGATGGCACCGTGGTATTTTGTATGTTAACATTAAGTGGTAGTATTTCAACCACAGAGATAAGCAAACGCTGTTTTTGTTTTTTCTTCCTAGAATGCCAGTTGTTAAAAATTCAACATGCTACTGATCACAAGAAATGGATGTTCTAACTATCTGGAAACAGAAGGGAATACACAAAAATTACTTGAAAGTGGAGGGAGGCCTAGAGAGATTGCTCGGTGGTTAAGAACACTGGCTGCTCTTGTAGAGGACCTGGGTTTGGTTTCCAGTACCTATATGGTGGCTTACAACCATCTGTAACTCCAGTTCTAGGGGATCTGACACAATTTTCTGGCCTCTGCAGGCACCAGACACTCACATGGTATATACATACATACATTTAGGCAAAAACTCATACACATTAAAAAATGTTTCTTAAGCCCATTTTAAAAGTTGACCAAGTAGCATCATGAATAGGAGCTTCAGCTTTGGGGTCAGACAGGGTTAGGCTTCCTAACCTAACCTTTCTTGCTTTGCCTTCCTTCCTAACCTTTCCTGCTTTGCCTTGTTCTGGCTGCACAATCTTTGTCAAGTAACATAGCCTCTGTAAGCTCCAATTTCTTAATATGTAAAATGGTGACAATAATTATATGTCTTTTCCAGTTGTCATGAAGATTGAATTGGAGCAGAAGTGCCCAACATTTAATTTATAGGGTAAAGCACTCAATCAATCTTAGAAAAACAATGATAATTTTATCTTTTATCTAGTAGTCTTGTAAGAAGGAATCTGAATCACTACAGCAAAGCTCATAGAATTCAAGTTTTCTGCTTGGGCGAAGCAAGTCATCAGCATAAGGGAGAAAAAGCATTAGCTAAAATTCCATCTGCTTAATGACTGTAATGCAGGCTGTATATGCAGTAGCCACCTAAGCAGGATCATTTGATGAAGACTGAGAAAAATTCCTTTCTCTGGTTGGTATTTTGCCATTGTATTTCATTCCTTTCACTTTGAAAATTAAACAATTTCAGGAGTCATTATTTACAAGACATAGAATTATATAAAATTTGGCTCATGCTTGAATAGAAATTTGTAGAAGCAAGAAATGAGATATTGCTAGCTATGGAGGATGTTTATTAAGCACTTAGTATTGTCAGGGACTGGGCTAGTTGCTGGAAGCGTAATCTCATTTAATCTACCTTTCCTTTCCTTGCAAGTTAGAGAGTACTATTAGCTTCCTTTTTTTTTCAACAAATGAGAGCTTCGTGGTTTGGAGGAATTCTAAATGTGCCCAAGGTCATTATGGGAAATGACAGACCCTAGACTCCAGGCCAGCTCTGTCTGACCTTAAAACCCTCATTCTCCTGGCTCCCCAGCTGCCAAAGAGATAGTGTTAGGATGGAAGAATGGGCAGTAATTTGGGAGACTCCTTGCTGTCATTTTGCTCTGTTCTGAGGGACAGGGTGGAGCTATGTCCAAAGCTCTCTTATTAATGCCTCAATCTCTCTAGGGAGCATCCCTCTTGTGAGGACAAAAGCTGAGAGCATTGTCCTAGAATAAAGGACAGGAAGGTGTTCATAGTTACACAAAAGAGGAGAAGGATTAATAATAAAAACAAATAAATTAATTCAGCAATCATCTATTGAAAATTCACTGTATTCCAGACCCAGGATGTGGTAAAAGTGCTCATAGGGGTTTACAGTTTACATGGGATTCAAGGGAGGTGAACTTGTAATTCTGATGTCCCACATGAAGTCCTGGAGTAGAGTATGCATGGTCATCTCAGTGGAAGAGGGGATGAGGAGAACTCCTCAGGGAAACAGGAATTACTTTTATGCTGCTGTGATCACACTACCTGACAGAAACAACTTAGAGGGAAGATTTATTTTGGCTCATGGTTTCAGACTATCATGTCATGTCAAGGAAGGCATGATGGAACATCTCCATTCATGGCAGAAGGAGTGTGTGCCCTCAGGCTGTTCAAATCATGGTGGATCGGGTGGCCAGGAACCAGGGGTCAGGTATAAGTTTCAAAGGTCCACTCCTGGGTGACTTCCACCAGCCAGATTCTGTATTCTAAAAGTTCCACAGCCTCCCAGAATATCACCACCAGCTAGGAAGCAAGGGTTCAAAACATGAGCTTCTGGAAGACATTTCAGATCAAGCCCTAACAGGGGTCCATCTAGGAAGAGATATTTTTGAATCCCACAGACTCACTTGTCTGTCACTTCCTATCTAGTTCTGAGACCTTAGGCAGGTAAGCTAACTTCTGGAAGTCTTAATCTCTTCTATAGAATGGGGAAATGAGGATAAAAATCTCCACTCCATTGCAACTGAATGAGAAGTGCTAAATAATACCTTATTAACTTATTAACTGTCTCCATTACGAAGTAGAAGGAGGAACCACACTGCTTATAGGTACCATGGTGACTTTCAAATAAAAGGTGACTTTTGACCTGTCCTTTTCATTTTTTTAGAAATTCTTCCATGTAGTCTAGGCTGTCCTCAAACTCATGATCTTACTGCCTCAGCCTTCTGAGTGCTGGTATTTCCGGTGTGTGCCACAACACCCAGCTTGAACTGGCTCTTAAAATATTGTAGGAATCTATCACAAGACAGTAAAGAGAAGGTAAAATAACACAGGCAAAGGCGTCACACAATGGAAAGCAGTTTTCAAGGAACTGAGAGCCAGTCAAGGAACTGTGGAGGGGTGTTTGGTGGGGATTTGAGATGGGAGGTGCACAGCTGAGAGTGGAAAACAGGCCAGTCTGCTCTGCAAGGGCCACATTTGCCCAGTTTAAGAATTTGGCTTTTGTCCTGGAAAGCTGCAGGGCTGCTGATGCGTTAAAATCAATGAGTCACTAGGTCCGAGCTAGCCAGAAGAGTGTATTGTTGTCAGACTAATCTAGAAAATTCTGGAGAAGAAAGTCCTTCCTTGGGGAAAAAAGGAAGTAAGCACTTTCTTACTTTCCTTTTGATGGCTTGTAAATAACCAGGCTAGCAGAAAAACACTGCAGAGCTTTCTGTTCCATTTTCGCTGCAGGCTGCTGGCAATGAATTAAACTGAGGTGCTCCAAATTCCAACTCATTAGAGTAAGTGCTCATCCTCATCTAGCCTACTGACAGGTCTCAATAAACGCTAAGCACTCATCTTTATTGCTGACTGTACAGGGCTGCTGAGTAAGCACAGGGTAGCAGCTGCCCGGAACTCAGATAGCTAGGGTTGTTAACTCCTGTTAGTTCTACTGAACCTGGGCAGGGAAGGAGAAAGAGCCAAAGATAAAAGGACCATTCAAGTTAAAGTCAGAGATATATACTGGTATCCAATCGCTTTACCACATCAAGGTTTGGCATAAAAATCTGGATGCTTGATGAAATTTCAAACTGCCCAGAATAACAAGTTTAACCATTTCTGTGAACCCTTTTGATTTTTAAACAAAAATTTATTCCATTCATCTGTGTATGTATGTATGTATGTATGTATGTATGTATGTATGTATATGTATGTGGGTGGGGGTGCACAAGCCACAGCACATGTGTAGATGTCAGATGAGAACTTGTGGAATCACTTCTTTCCTTCTACCATGTGGGTTCCAGGTACTGAACTCAGGTCATCAGCCTCCATGGCAAGTTCCTTTACCTGCTGAGCCTTTTCACTGGCCCACCCCTTTTGATTTGAATGAAAAAGGCTCAGTAATTCTAAAAATAATGTATCAAATGGGGTTAAAATATTCACAAAAATAAAGTCCATTATGTAGGAAAATCTGTTCATTTGAGGGGAGAGTATAGTTTAAAAGAAAATTACAATAGAGAATTAACTAGTGAACGTGACAACAAATTGGGTGTCAATATTTAAAAAGACAATCACCCTGCCATGCTGGTACCTCCCATTTAGGAGCTCTGGGTTCAAGTTCTGGATGTATCACTAATTGACTATAAGTCTTTGGAGAAATCATTTAAATTTTTCTAGACTAGACTATGACTAGAAAGGGCCTCATGAAACAAATGATCTCAAACCCTGTGTCTCCAGAGTCAGAACATTGTGGCTCAGGATATTTCTTGCTTTGTCAATCAGCATGCATCCAATAGAGCTCTCTGGATTTTTCTGAATTTCACACAGAAAATTTGTTATAGTAGTGATAGAAAAGCAAGGACAGTAAACAGAGGGTGCTGTGAAGAACCCAGAGGG